GTTTCTGCTACTGTTTCCTACTCATGTCTCTGATGATGAATCCGCGACGGGTTTTGAAACGTCAGGCGAATAAACATATTGCCCCAGCGATCAAGTCTTCTTCTTGTCAATTGCTTCCTGGGACACGCATGTTCGCTGGAATTTTCGTTGTATGTTTGCAGTGATGACTGTATCCTATAAATACTGCAAACTCCTGTGCATATGTCACCCCTATTTGCTACTGTTTCCTGCTTATGTCTCTGATGATGAATCCGCGATGGATCTCGAAACGTCAGGCGAATAAAGGTATTGGCCCAGTGATCGGTTCGTTTTCTTCCCAGTGATTCCTTTATTTAAGCTCACTCAAGGAGATTTCACGTCCTATGCCTTGCCTAACTGGGGGAACTTTTTGCAAAACCGTTCACAGCCATGCCGACCTATGAACCTTCTCGGCTGAAAATGGGGTCGCCTGTGAGTTTCTTTTGACCTGCATGGTTATCATTTACCTGGTTAGAATGTCCTAAAAGAGCGCTTGATTTAATGCTAACAGGATTGCATTGTGAGGTTAAAAACCCGACTGAATTAAGACGTAATTTCGGCATTAAATAATCTCCTCTTTTTCGTTTAATTAAATGGTCAGGGATTTAGTTATTTTACTCCCCCTACGTCTGTGCACTTTTTGGCAAGACTGCTTTATAGGGCCGCCTCAATATATATCTCCCCCACACCCAACTACCTTAAGGAATTTGTGGTCAAGCATTTAATTCTTGGTTAACGAGTGTAAATGAGCATGTACTTGCGTCTAAAGTTACCAAATAGTGTGTTAAATTAACGCCACATATAATTCATTTCATCCTAGCAGATTAATCGCTATGTGACTGCCTGCGTGGGCTCTAATTGTGGACTCCAGGGCGAAGTGGAAATGAAATTTTTCTCAGCCAGATGTCCATATATTCCCCATAACCCCAATTTCAACCGACGAAGCAACGAACACGTGGTGCAATGGTAGAGTGGTAAACTCAATGAATTAAAGGTCCTGGGCTGGAATCTCAGGGGTTCTAACCTCTGAGAGTACGTGTGACTGTCGGACCCATTTCCTCCTACCTCATAAGTCGCTATGTGACTGACTGCGCAGACTCTAATTGTGAGTTCCAGGATGAAGCGGAACTTAATTGTTTCTCTGCTATATCGGTGATCCCCATGTATTAAGAATGACTTCCATCAACATAAACTCCGGTTGCAAATTATGCCTACTGACGGAAATTTGACTTTATATTGGCGGCATTTAACGAACAAAGGGAAAGTCGGGCTACTTCAAAGTGTAAAAGTAGGTTATTATTATACGTCGAAGGCAAGTAGGGCCTCTGAAGACAGTCCTACCCACGTTTCCTTGCCGCCTTTTCATTAAACCTCACTGCTCTCCATTCAGCTCTCCTCGCATTTGCGGCGACAGTTCCATCCGGCATAGTTTACTTTTTTCTTTATTAAGAACTCCGGTTCTGATTGCTTTCCTCTGGCGAACCACACACGCAGAGCCATGGATTAAAGTTGAAAAGTACTTGCTTATGTTTATAGCACAGGAAAACTTGGGCTTACACATTTGCATAAATGCAGTCTCAGGAGGCATGAATAACCCTTCCGCTTTACCCATACAGCACGGCCTAAAATTCGTGTAACATACCGACACATGCGAAGGGTTGATACTCTCTGGCTAATCGGCATTAAGTAAGGTTGTAATGTTGAGTATCTTGTAGGCTATTATGAAGTCATTTCACTCACAAAAAGGTGCCGGCCTTTTTACAAGCTTCGTTCTGACAACTAACACAAAGTATGTACTGTAAAAATTGGTTACTTAAGTTGTATGCATTTTTATAATTGATTTTGACTGCCTTTATATATTCAAATATATTTTATGGAAAACATAGACGAAAAAGCATTTCTTGTACACGTTTGGTAGCAAATTACGCCTTCATACTTAAAGTTTTTCGGTTTTAAAAAAGTTTATAATTATGAGCTAGGGTGTTCATTCCTAATGCATTGAATCCGTCAATTTATTAATGATACCCACGATGTATAAGACATGTTCCACATCTGTTGCATTATTTTATGAAAATTATGTGACTTCTTCCTCAAACCATAGACAAAAACGTACTTTTCCTTAAACCAGATGTACACAGCGCGCAGTTTGTAAACCTTGAATTCAAGGGTAGCAGTTAGTAAGTTTACAAATTATCCGGCAATTCAGAAATGCAAGACCTGATAATTTTTTGTAGGCCTGTAGTTGCTTTGACCCTGCGCAATAAAATGGGAACCCCTTGTGCCTCTATAAGCCTTTTTTGGGACTGCTTGTGCTACTGAGCAGGAGTCGTAATCCAAAACTTCAATAAACTCCAAAGAAGAAGATGCGATCGCTGGAACAAGAAGTTTATTTGCCTGACGTTCCGAATTCTGTCGAGAACCTTTCTTTACAAGTAACCGTAGAATAGTGTGATACATGCCCAGACTAAGGTGATATATACACACATTGCGCAGTATTTATAGTTCGTAGTAGCCACGCGGCTGCATGTGACCTATAATTATCAGCTCCTGTAGCCACCGCTTGGGCTCGTTATCGGTGCAGGGATGGCTTGGCTGTCCGCTTCCAAGGCATTAATTGTCGCAATTTCGTCATCCGTGTTGAATGCAGCCTTGATAATTACGCGACAATTATGTGCGCTGTCGTCGGAGATATTGCCGGGCCCGGCTCGGTCCTTCTCACGTGACTGATTTTGATGCTCAGACAATGTTTTGAGTACGGAGGATGGGAACAGCAAGTTGTTGCGCTTCTTGCTTGACTGTGGGCCCGCGAACCATGACTCGACCTGCTCGCAGCCCACGCGGTTGTCACTACTTGCGAGGTTTTCGGCCTCGTTAAAGTTAAAAAAATATGACTGGGTCCTGTCGAGTCAGCTGCAACTGGGGAGTTATCGTCTTTCCTCCTTACCACTGCTGCGTGCTCGGCCAATCGTGTCTGGAGTAATCTCCCAGTTTCTCCGACGTTGGTGTTTTGTCCACAACTGCAACAGAGCCAGTAAACGACTCCAGCCGTTTCCTGCTTCGGCAGTGGATCTTTAGGTCTCTTGACCCGGCGCCTGATGGTTGCTTCTGGCCTGTGTGCAACTTCAACTCTAATTGGAGTGAGAATGCGGCTGACTGTTTCCGATATATTCTTCACGTACGCAAAGGCTCGCAAACTGTTGGGCCGCTGGATTTGTTTTCCTGTCTCTCGTCTGCGTATGCACTGGTTGCAAATATTTCGCGGGTACTCCCTCTGCAAGTCCTGAACTTCCACAGCAACCACCCGATCAGTCACAAACGCAGCTGCGTGGGACTGGTATACCGGCGCATTCAGACGCATTGCAGCGAAATAGAAGACAAAGTTGCTGAATCAAAATAGCTTCGAGGGGTGCTGAAGGCGCATTTTTACGTGCGAAATTTTGTCAGCCAGTGCATGCGGAGACGAGACGAGTAACCAAATCCCACTGGCCAAAAGGTTTGGCAAGCTCTTCTACAACAGTGTCAATAGAAAACGTTTTAATTTAAAATTATTTTATATGCTAAAGCAAGCCACTCAAATTCAGGTTCATTGTATTCTGGGATAGCCCAAGGAGTCCTGATGAGTTTGTTCTTTCCTGATGGATGGACTAAAGTCTCGAATTGCCATTTGCAGTAATACATGGGACCAAAAGACATTCCATGAATTTTCAAAGGAGGTTTGGAGAGCTCTATTAAGCACTTCAGTCACGAAACCAGACTCAGAATTGCAAAACTCTGCCTCCGCCCCAAGTGCATGGTTAAGGTTTCTGATGTCAGGTGCTGCTTTAAAGGATACGCGAGCAGGCAGCGAGCCGCGCTCACGGCAGGTTATCGATCCACCTATACGCGCCGAACTCAAACTAGCAATCAATCAATGAATTATTTATAATTTTAATTTGTGGCTAGGTTACGACCGTGACAAGCCAGCCGGATATCAAACGTGTCGCTATTCGCGCCAGGCCAGTATTTGATTGGTCCGGTGGACATGGCTGTACGCGCGTTTGTTTTCCTTTAATATGTTGTAATAAGTACGCTAAAAGACTATTACGTTTGCGCTCTCATTGTCGTTTTTTTCCCCTGGGGATTCACACAAGGCGTAATTAGGCGGTGTCATCACAGTTCTGGCTGCATTTACAACATGTGAGCGCAGGCTTACCTGTTCCCCTGATATGTTTATCCTTCAGCTCCTGATCCAGGGAGACCAAACGATCAGAGAAGGTGTAGACAATGTGGAAGCCGCGATACACGGGTACTCCAGTGTCGCCGTTGGTATCATGGGAACCCACGACCTGCGCCGTCTGATTCGAAGAGGCAGCACCGGTCGTGAAGACCATGAGGAGAGTGAATTCAGTGGAGACCACTTGAAGGTCGCGAACTTCACCGCAGAAACGGTCGCCGATAGGCACGGCCGTCTTGAAGTCAGCTCCATCGTAGAACTGAACGTAGTCCGTGGGACATCTGTAAACATGTGAAATAAAAGTAGTGTTTTTTGTTAACTGGATCGCTAGTAAAGTATTGCCGGTTGTCCACGAACGTGGACGCACACGAATAGGCGCACCGCAAAGTGGAGGGATTGAAAATGCCAGTTTACAGTGGAAGTCTACGATAAGTCTGATGATATAATCACTGAAGTTAAATAAGCAGACGGCATTTGAAGCAACTGTCCGTCACGGAATCTAAGTAAAAAACGGATACGAAGACTCATTCACTAAGGGTTTTATTGCTGGGTAAAAGAAATTGGCAAACAGTTGTACTCGAGGAGTAAAATTGTGAAGAAAAACACATTTCTGATAGCAGCTTGTTTGAACACAT